ATCATCACTATCACCGTCACACCGCAACATCAACGTCGGACAAGGCACATTCCCACGCACACCCATACATTCAGCCCTCACACACATACCCTCACACACATGCCCTCACACACATCCACACCATCGTCAGCATCATCTTGCGGGAATATTGTCTGAAATTGAATCGCGATGGAGTCTCGAGCGGGAGCCCTCTCCCTATGGGGTCCCCGCCTCCATGTTCGAAGCGGAGCGGGTCATCCAATTCCTGTAATTGTCGTCATTGTTGGGTTCTTCAGGCGCCTGATTGTGGAGGAAGTCTCGAGCGGGGGCCTCGTCTTCGAGTGAATCGCGGGGACGTCTCAAGCGGGAGCCCGCTTCCAAGTTAGAATCCGAGCGGGCCGTCCAACTCTTGTAAGTGTCGTCACTGGTGTGTTCGTCAGGCCTAAATGGGGGGGGCGGGAAAGTCTCGACCGGGAGCTCCGTCTGTGAGTGAATCGCGTGGAAGTCTTGAGCGGGATCCCCTTCTTATGAGGTCCCTACTTTCATGTTCGAGTCCGGCGGGTCATCCAAGTTCTTGAATTGTTGTCGTTTTTGGCTCCTCGGGATATGAAGGAAGTCTCGAACGGGAGTCTCGTCTGTGAGCGAACCGCGAGAATATCAGGAGCGGGAGACCCTCCCTATGGGTTCCCTGTCTCCACGTTTGAATCCGCGCGGGCTGTCCAAACCTTGCAATTGTCGGCGCCCATCTCGAGGCCCGCGGGTTTGTCCCGATTGTGTTTCGTTCCTGCGCCCCAGTGGCCCGCGGGGCTGTTCCGACGGCCTGGCCCGCGGAGTTGTCCCACTGGCGTCTCGATCTAGCCATCTTCGAACGCGCGCATATGGGCCAAGGCGGCGACCGCGCCGAGGAAATCGACTTGCGTGCCCCGCCCAGGAGGAAGGGTGGGTGGGGGTTGGGGGACAGATACAGGAGGGCGAGGAGGACAAGGAAGCAAAGCAGGGATTGGGAGGACGAGGAGGAGGGGGAGGAGGGCCCCCGCAAAGGGCAAAAGACAGAAGGGTGAGGAGGAGACAGGAAATGAGCTTCAACGATGAGGTGCACTTCCAGATGAGTTTGGCAGGTGCCCATACGGGGTCCTACCGTCGGAGTGAGCGTGGTATTGTCTTTTCATTGTCAGTACCCCGTGGCCGTCCCTGGCGCGGGGTCGTCAAAAACGGTCCCGGAGAAAGCATGGTGGATTTGAAAATTTGGATTCATGTCTCTCCTACGGTCGGGCCGCTCAAGAAGGAGCCCATCCCTTTGGGGAGGGGCCCAGTGTTCCTCAATTGTTTGCACAGCTCGTTCGTCTTAGGTCTGCGTAGGCCTTCTATGGGAAATCGAAGCTTACAGTATGAAATATTGGATCCCGTTCCTTATCCAGGGTTCCTTATGACAGCCTTTCGACGGTACTTCAGTCGCGCCAAGGTCGTGTGTGGCGAGGGGGCAAGCTTGTCCGTCGCCATTCCCCATCCTGCCCTCTTTTCCGCCCCCCCCCTCCGCTCAAGCGCACTCCATTTCCCCAGTCAGACATGCTCGCGTCATAAAAACATAAAACGACGTGAGGCGATTGATTGCTTTCGTCGCAAAGGTAGGAGTTCGTTCAGCAGTTTTGATTTCCACGCCTGCTCACAGCTGGCAACGGGCATTTCGGCAGCTCGAAGTCTGCGTGCTCGACGGCGTTGGCAAACATCGTCGCCGCCGACGCAGAGTTTACGGCATGGCTGGTCTGGCCGAGTTTTGAGGCAGTCCCGTGAACGGATATACGCGCCAGCGCCCATTAGGATGGCGGTTTTGCGCAAGACCTGTGTATGGATTACGTCTGGGGCAAAGCTACGCCTAAGGATGAGGATGACAGACGTTCTTGGGGACTGCCGAGGGAACGTGGTCGTTTATCGATTGAAGGGGTCCGCATACTGTAACGTCGCGGAAATCATGTTGCGTTATCAGAACGGCGGCATTATATCGCATGGCTGAGCTATAACTGCAGCAACTGAAATCGCAAATCCATCCGCAATGTTGGATATGATCCTTGGGGCTTCTCGAAGGTCTCTGGGGGCCGTTTGGGGGCTTCTGGGAAATTGTCTGGGGCGTCCTGGGAGACCCTGGGCCGTCTCAGGGCTGTCTTGGGCCGTCTGACAGCTTCGGGGGTTGTCTCGGGAGCCTCTCTGGGCTGTCATAAGGCCCTCTTAGGCCGTCCCGCGGCCGTTTCGGAAACCCTTAAGGCCCTCACGGAGCAGATGTTGGGCCCTTTAGGCTCGTCTCGGGGCCATCTTGGAGGTTTCTTAGGCCGTCTTGGGTCTTCTTGGAGGTCTCGGGTTTTTAGTTTCAGAAATGACCGTGTGTACCCAATAAGAGATAGGGTTTCCATAGATCTTGGGCGGGGTGCAAGTCCTGCAGTTTGATTGCGAATCGGCGTTGTCATGGGGTCATCTTTGGGAGCGTCCGTTGCGCGATTCCAGACAAGTATTTGTTGCAGCCAAGTGTTGGACAAATGGGGGGGCATCCTGGAGTCATCCTGGGACCAATTCAGGGACATCATGAGGCTTGACACGGGGCGCTCTTGGCACGCTCTTGAGCACTCGTGGCGCGCGTTTGGGCGTTCTTGGCGCGCTTGTGGCCCCAGTGAGCTCTGGAGACCACAAGGGCCTGTCGCCACTTTCGAGGGCTGCTTGGGGGCCCAGCGGAGTGACGTCTTATTCAGATCCAGATGAGACCTCGCCATATCGAGGGCTCCGGAGGCTGTGGAGGAGGAAATGCGGAGGAGGAGGAGGAGGCGGAAGAGGAAGAAGGGAGAAGCGAGGTGGAAGGGAGGAGGAGGAGGAGGAGGAACCGAGGGAGGAGGTCTGGCACATGCTGCCGCGGCGGCGTCTGCGCGGTTCTTGCACTAACTGCCAGCAGGTTTAATAATTTGTTCGAGCGCCGCGGCGACATGGTGCAGGCAGCGCTGCATCTTTAGCGTACGACCGACAACAGCAACACGCTTCGGCCTCCTCGCGTCACTAACGTCGTGGTCCTCCGCCCCTGCCACCTTCCCTCTGCTGCTGCCGCGCTGACGGTTCGGCCCCCCACGCGCCTTTCTCATGCCCTTCGTTCCCTCCCCCATGTCCTCCTCAAGCCTGGGCCCTTGCTCCTTGTCCTTTTTGTTGTTTTCTTGTGAGTCGTGCCACGTGAGCGCATCCCACGTAAGTTGCACAGCATATATCTGCGCCTGCACCGTCATTATCCTGGCAAGTTTGGGCCAACTTCTCTTGTCACTTGACGCGAATGGCTTGGGTACGTCCCAGGATAACGGGCACGCGTGGGGAAACGGGCGAGATCACACGTATACAGACGGAGGGCATTTGTCAAAACACATGACGAATGATTATCGAATGGCCTTCGGCACATCCCACCACCGTGCCTGGGTTGCGGGTATGAGGCCGTTCGGATGGTTGATGGGGTCGCGTGGGAAGCGTCTCGGGGGCGTCTTGGAGGCAGTTGTTGAACCGCTTACGGGGGTTTGTTGCGGCAATCTTGGGGCTCCCCGGGGGCCTCTTAGGGGCTCCTTGGGGCAACCCGGAGGCGTCTTGGGATAATGTCCGTTCGCGTTCGCCTTTTCTGGGTCCCCTCTTGGGGCTGTTTTGGGGCCCTCCTGGGCCGTCTTGGGGGTTTCTTGGGCCCTCTCGGGTCGTGTTGGAGCCCTCTTGGGGGCCTCGGGCGATCTTGACGGCCTCCCGGGCCGCCTGGGACGTATTGAACGCCCAGGAGGCGCATGTGCAAAACAGGCACATTCCCTTAAGGGACTGGGGCGATTTTTGTTTGTGGAGGCCCTCTTGGGGTGCCTCTTGGCGGCTTTGAGGTTTTTTGGGGGGCCTCCTGGGCTTCCGAAGGGGCCAGCATGGGCGCGGTGGCCTTCGTGGGCCGTCCCCAAGGCCGCGTGGGGCCCACTTGGCCTGTTTGGGGGCCCGCTGCCCCCCCAGGCGCGTTCGCCCAACTCCTCCTCCTCCTGCTCCTCCTCCTCCTCCTCCTCCTCCTCCTCCTCCTTGTCCTCCTCCTCCTCCGTTAAAAGGATTCGCCAACTTATTGTACTGCGCGCGCTTGCCTGCCTGCCTGCTCTCTCCCGCCCAGCGCTTTTGTCTGCTGCAGGGGACCCTTCCCTCCTCCAAATCGACCGGGCCAGGCCCCCAGAGCAGGGGTTTGGGGAGCGGGAAGCATCTCACGCGCCGGGGAGCCCCCATGAGTCGGCGGATCCCAACATGGCGCCAAGAGGCCTCCAAGCTCGCCCAAGATGCCTCCAAGAGGAACCACGATGGCCCGAACATGACCTCAAGACGGTTCTGGATGGCTCCAGGACGGTTCCATATGGCCCCCGATACAATCCAAGAAGGTTCCAAGAGGCCCTTCAGGCAGGCCCGACGATGTCAGAATCAAAGACTGTCTTGTGGTTTCTGGAACATGTTCGAGTTCGGGCATGTTCTGCCCTCCGACGGCCGAACACTGCCCACGAGGCCTTCAAGATGAACCCAAGACGGCCCTGGAGACGCCCAAGGGGGCCCTAGAGCGCCCTGGGGGTGCCTCAAGACAGGTTCCCGAGACGGCCTCCGAAGGTGTGTAGCCCTGAGATGGCCTTGCGAGACCCCCAGAAGTTACCAGAAGCAGACGGCCACATGAGGCCTCCAAGAAGCCCCCAAGGGGCTTCCAGAAAACTCTGAGGAGGCTCCACGAGGGCCCCAAGGGGTTCCTAACAGGCTCTCGAGACGCCCACGGCAATCAAACATGTTCTATTGTATCCCAAGCTTTGGTTGTTCCGCTTTTTCGTTCATGATGCGCGTCTGATGCCTCAAGATGGCTCCAAGATCGATTGAAGTGGAGCCCAGAAAAGGTTCCATGAGGGCTCCGAAGAGATTCAGGAGCGCCCCAGGAGCGCCCCAAAAAGACCTCAGAGGCGCCCGCAATCATTTCGGCACACCCCTCGCGCGCGTTCCACCCTCCAGTGAGCCCCGCCCATGGCCCCCGCGGGCGTGTCCACGTGGCGTTCCCGCGCCCACGTCAGCACACACCTCGATCGTCTCGTGCCGAAACAGGGCGTTCCACCGGTCGAGTCTTAGTTCGAGCTATCTTTCAGTGAGCCTCCGAGAGCGTGCGGCGTCAAGACCACCAGTCCCCCAGACTTCCGCTGGCCCGTCGTGCCAGCAAGCATGAAGGCCCTTGCCACCGTGCAGACCGCCGCCATGGTTGCTCGCCGCCGACGTGTGCGCGGGTGCCGTACCCCGCGTGCGGTTCCACTGCTGCTGGCGGTGGCGAGCGCAGCTGTGGCGGCGGTGCAGGGCGGCGGGCCTGCTGCCTTTTGCGGCCTGGGCGCGGCATGGGGCGGCCGCTGGCAGGTGTCAGAGAGCAGCGGCAGCAGGAGTCTGGTGGCCCGCAGGCAGAGACAGCAGGTGGTTTGGGAGCAGCAGGCCACAACGGATTTGATTTTTTGGAGAGGGCCCTGCGGAGGGGAGGGCCCGCCGATTTCGGCATGAACTTGTTAGCTACGGTTGCAGTTGCAGTCGGTTTTTGGCGCCCTGGTGCCTGCGCCAAACATCCCCGACGGTGTGTTCTCGAGGTGGCTGTAGTCGACGGCTCACGCAGGCGGAGCTGCTGCGCAACAGGTGCGCGGAGAAGGGGTTGCTGCAGAGCGGCAGCGAGAGAGACTTGATGTTGCGGCTCCAGGTGTTCACGTGGGGACGAACACACAGACGCAAACATTCGCCGACCCCCCAAGCAAACATGGGAAGATACGGGAAGGGTGGGGGAAGGGGAAGACGAACATTTAGAAAGTATAGAGATGGGGGATCCTGGAATTCGTGTACATGGAAGTTTGCAAAAGCGACCAGGGCCAGCCCTTCCACTCTTTCCAGCTCTGGCCAGTTCCCTTCTATTTGTTGCAGCCCTGGCGACCCCATCCCTGCCGCTTCAGGCTCGTTCCACCCACTGCCAGTCTCTCCAGCCCTGGCCACTTCCATTTCCGCCGACTTTCCAGCTTGCCTCCTTGCAGGTTTGTTTGTGTGTCCCTGGGCCCCTTCAGGTGTGCCCTGGATCCGTGCGGCGGGCGGCACCGCTGCGGCCACCCACAAGGCTTAAGTCGGGCATGTCCCCCCACAGAGGGATTCTGAACGGAAAAAAAAATACCCCAAACATATTCCCACATGCGCAGAAATAGTCAAAAAGTCGTCCCCTGATTGTTTTTGTTACCATTTGTGAATATTGCTCCTGTAGAGGGACAGGCCCGACTCAACGTAAGGCAGCCCCCGGCGCCCGCCGCCCCCGCGGCGAGCCCGCCCCCGGCCGCCCCGCGCGCGGAGGGCCCGCGCGGGCAACCGACGGCGCCGCGGCCGTCCGGTGGGCCGCCGACGGAGAAGATGCTCGGCTATGCGGAAGCGTTGGCCCGGCAGGCCGAGGGCAAGAGAAATCATCATCAGCATCATCACCATCACCATCAGCATCATCATCATCATCAGCAGCAGCAGCAGCATCATCAGCAGCAGCATCAGCATCAGCATCAGCATCAACATCAGCATCAGCATCAGCATCAGCATCATCATAATCATCCTCCTCATCATCCTCCTCCTCCTCCTCCTCATCATCATCATCATCCTCCTCCTCCTCCTCCTCCTCCTCCTCATCATCATCATCATCATCATCGGGGGCAGCATGATCTTTCTAGGCCTTAGGTGGGGTTCGAAGAGGTGGGGACGGAGGACGCGCCGAATCGCCGATGCATCGGCGACGCGGGTCGATGTGGAGTTAGATTTCAGGAGGGGAAAAAACACACAGACACAATTAATTTGCGATTCCCAGAAAATATAGGAAAATATGGGAAGTGGGGGGGAAGACAAAAACCCAGAAAATATGGGAAAATATGGGGAATCATCTTATTTGTGTGTATTTATTTGTGTGTCCCAGTTTCCCTTCAAGATTTCCTCCACGCCAGCGTCGCCGATGCCACGCCGACGTCGCCGGTGCATCGCCTCTGCATCGGCGACGCACCGCCGATGCATCGACGATGCGGCGGGATCTTCCGACCCCATCTACTCTAAGGGCTCCCCCGAGGGCGCGAAGTTATTCGCGCTTCGCGCTTCGCGGTCCTCGTTCCTCCTCCCCCCTCCTCCTCGTCCTCCTCTTCTCCCTCTGGGGGGGCGGCGCGAGAGCGCGAAGTTATTCGCGCTTCGCGCAGCGCGAAGCGCGAAGTTGGGAGCCCTAGCATCTACTCCGACTCCATTTGAGAGGCCTCTAATCACGGCGGGAGGCTTTTGTCCAATGTTCGGCCTGTAGAGGCCCTCGCTGGGCCCGGGGACAGTCACGAGACGACTCGGGACGAAAAGCCGGCCTTGGGGAGAGGGTCGGGACTTCCGGGGACCCCGCATTATGAGGATCACGTCATCGGATCTCTGGGTACGGTCGGACCGAGGTACAAGGTCGAGCTCGGTTCGGGGAGGGTGCCCTAGGGTTCTTCGTGCTTGTTGGATGTTTTTGTACACTCTGGAAGAGGGTACCCTCGAGTGATCTTGTGGCTTGGGGTGTTTGGGCCGGCGGAGGGTCTCATGTTCTTGAAGGATGTTCTTCTGTCCTAGGTCCGACTGGAGGCTCAGGGGGGAACGCATCGACCCCCACCCCGCCCAGGCACATCTGGATTCGCTATCGGGGGCCTATTGCCGATCTATTGGCGATGTAGCGCCGATTCCAGGTCGACTTTTCCCTCCCTTAGCCAGTCCCCCCCTGTCGTTGCCCCTCAAAGGCAGATGTGGAGTTGCCAGCAGTCGCTCGGGCCGACTTCGACGCGTGCAAGATGTTCATCGACCAGATGAAAAACGGCGTTGTTGGCTCGGTGTCCATGCCGACCCAGGGGTCGGTTGCGCCGCAGGCGCACACGACTGCGGGCACCGCTAAGTATGCGCCGCCGTCATTTCCTGTCGTCCAGGGGGTGACACCCGACTTCTTCAAGCTTCCCGAGGGCTCCCTGCCGCGGCGCATCTGGCAGTGCGAGAGCTCCTGGGCAGGAAACCACTACGAGGCCCGGGGATGGCGCAGCAGCAAGGGGTTCTCAGAGGAGGAAGAGGCGATGCCGCAATCCTTCCCTCGTTTTAACCCTGCTGGGCTCGCTGGGAGGCCCTCGTCGCCGCCGCTGGGATTCGCCTCGCAGTTCTGGTCAAACGCACCCCAGGAGAGGGCCACGGAGTAGCGCTATCGGTACCTATCAGTGCTTTTGGGTTGTCCTAGGTTCACTTACGTGGCCAACGTCTTGGACGGCATCACATACCTTGCTACGTCCATGGACGAAAGCATCGACGCTCCTCCGAGATCCGACTGCAGGGAGGTGTTCGAGCAGGACATGTCTGCGAGCCAGTACGCCGAACTGGTCGCCACCCTGCTGCAGGTGGAGGAGGACGAGTCCAAGGCACAGCGCTGGCGGCGTGAGCCCAGCATGGTCATGCCTCACGGGGGCTACAGCTTCAGTCTCTTCCCGAGGTTCCGCTATCGTGGCCTGACGACCGAGCCGCTGGACGGTGCTGAAGGCGTGCCCGAGCCGCACGTGGCGGTCACGGTCGTGCACGAGGCGGTGCCTCCAGCGGAGTTCAACTTGGGCCGCCTGCCCGCCACCAGGGAGATGTGCGACAAGCTCGTGGGCCTGAAAGTCTTCCCCGCCCCCACAGAGAAGGGCGAGACAGGGGAGAGGTGGGAGATATGCGAGGTGGAGGAAGGGGACAAGATCGCGCTGGACGAGGACCTCCGGCAGCAGTTCTTGGGCTACAAGCTCACCGAGAAGAGCCGGGAGTCTTGGCAACGCGCTCCCCCTGGCATGCTCGTCCTTCCCGTGTCCAGGAACTGCCGCGACGAGGATCAAGCAGTGGCGAAACGTCCTGGCTCGCTTATAGGACCACCAAATAATGTTATAAGAACCTTGTGTGGTCTGCACGAAATGTTCTTAGAACATTTCCGGCTGAGACTGTCTTGTTTTAGCACATCGGGCTCATGTTCTGAGAACATTGTTTCTGACATCGGGTTCTACGAACATGTCGTGGTAGGCCTATAGGAATGCCGGGACGGTCGGTGGTCTGTGCTCAAGAGGAAGAGTTTCGCCTGACATACCTCGCTTCGGACCTGCGGCCCGGGGTGTCCGAACGCAACCAGGAGAGGCTGAAGGGGTTGCCGGGCTGGGAGCGGTGGGAGCCTTTTGCCATCAACAGCCCTGAGGTCCTTCCTCCTCCTTTTCCTCAGCCTGCTCTTCCCCCCTCCTCCTCCTCCTCTTCCTCCTCCTCCTCCTCCTCCACCTCCCCCTCCTCCTTCTCCTCCTCCTCCTTCTCCTCCTCCTCCTCCTTCTCCTCCTCCTCCTCCTCCTCCTCCTCCTCCTCCTCCTCCTCCTCGACCTCCTCCTCTTCCTCCTCCTCCTCCTCCTTCTCCCCCTCCTCCTCCTCCTCGCTCGCTCGCTCGCTCCTTGGGGCTTAAAAGTTTGAGCCCGTGCCAGAAGATGAAAAAGTGAAAGTCACGCACAGAATTCCGAATTCATGCAGAAGGAGGGCGGTCAGGGCGACCCCAACGTGGGGGCAGCCAGCGAGTCCCCTTCAGAGTGCCCGACTGCCTCTCCAGGACAAGGCGGTCCTGTCGGCGAGGGGGTCGGGCCAGGGGTCATACCCGATACCATTCCCCAGGCGGCCTCCCCTCCCCAGCAGGCGTCCAGATGCGCCTTCTGGACATTTGGGTCGTGGGTGAACACAATTCCGTCCCCCCATCGGACTCCTCCCGTCACCAGACACGGGGCCTCATGCAGTGGCTGTACACTTGAGGGGCATGCGCTCTGCTGAAAATCGGAGGCACTTTCAACCCGTATCGTGCAAGCTCCCGCCGCATTGCGGTCGAAAACCCAGTCAGGGGCGGCCCCCTCCCCTTCTTCATTGCGCGCTGCCCCTTCCTCGCACCCCCGCATGTTAGGTGTGATTGAGGCGTTGCGCAGTCGCTTGCTGGCCGCACTGCATAGACTAGCAACAATTCCCACAGTGTCCCCAAGCGGCCTTGAGCTCGCCGACGGCGCCGTGTCCCCACCCGCTCTTTCATGAAAGCAAGAGAGGCGGAGACGATTGTTGAGGCAACGCATCTGATCAGCATGAGAGAACTGTCCATGACCCGTGGGGGGGGGGGAATGGGCACGCCAGAAGGCCAAGCCCCCCAGAGGGCCACCGAGGGGGCAACACCAGGATCCACAGGCGGGCACGTGTCCAACAGGGTCCCTCGACATCCAGGAAGCCTAGAGAGGGCCGCAACTTCGGGGGGCATTCCAGCGACAGGGGCAGTAGGGTAAACAGATGGTGACACGGGGAGGATCCAACATGCAGGAACATCCTGGGTCACGCATCGCACCCGAAGTTCAGTGCACGATCGCAGCCAAATATTCTCTCTCGCCATCCACCCCCTCACACAGTCACTGGTCTGAATACACCCCCATGGGGACACGGTGGTTCGAACAGGAGTGAGGCCCTCGGGGAGCGCAGCCATGGGGTGCGAGGCTTGCACAACGCTCGTTAAAGTGTACTCAATATACAGGCTCGCAACCTTCCCCTGCTCAATGAGTCTGCCTGCCGTAGCAAGCGTGTAAGGGGAGAGTAGGCCCGTGGAGTCGGTCGTCGCACACTCAAGAACAATGGGCCATACACGGTCTTCTCGCCATAATGGTTGCTCCGCAAACACTCGCATGGCATTCTTGCTGTGACTCCCTCTGTAAACAACAAACACAGCGTACGAGCATGGCAGAGGGGGGGCGGGAGGCAGGGTTGGCCCAGTCTGCACAGGAGTGCCCATAGGCGCAACAACGGCTGCAGGCAGATCTATCTTTGGCTGCTTAGGGATACGGACCAGGGGGCGGAAAGCAGGCCCCGCAATCTTCACCGCGGGAACATGAGCAACGCATTCCGACAGTCCCTTGGATCGGTTCACACGTTTTACTTCCCGCCTCTCCGCCAGGCATTCCGCCAGCTCCTCCTCAGAAGGTCGCAGCGGGGAATTAAGCCAACACGTACGGCAGTTGGCAGCACTCTGCATGTGCTTCAACAATCTCGCAGTATCCCAAAATTGGGTGACACAAACGGACACACCGTTCCCGTGACAAACGCAGTCGGGCTGGTTTCAGTCTTATGTGGTTTCCCTATGTGGATTCTTACAACGTGCTCCTGCTCAGACGCGAAACCACACATGTAAGAGACGTACTGGGAGTCCGCAACCTGTGGTTGGGTTCCAGTTGTCTCCTCGGGGTTGAGAGCAACAGGGGAAGGGGGAGCAAGTGGGGTTCCCCTGACCCTTTCCATGGGCAGCGGCATGGCTATGGCGTTGATCAGACTTGAATTGTTGGCCATACGCTTGCTGGTATCGGTGAGTCTACTCCTCCACATCTCACACCCCAGTTCTTCCTGCCACTGATACCTAATCCGAGCACCCGCAATCCCCACAAGCCTCACAAAGCGACGGGGGTCGTTCCGAACCATATTCAGCCAAAAGGGCACCCAATCGCCAGGGGGCGGGTCCGACGGGGGGGCGATTTTGCGGAGCCACGCAAGGTCCTCCTCATCTTCCTCCTCCTCCTCATCCTCCTCCTCCTCCTCCTCCTCCTCCTCCTCCTTCTACCCATAATCATCACCACCACCATCATCAACATCATCATCATCAGCAGCATCAGCATCAGCATCATCACCATCATCATCCTCATCATCATCATCATAATCATCATAATCATAATCATAAGCAGCATCATAATCATCATCATCCTGATCCTCATTATCATCATCCTCATCCTCAACATCATCATCATCATCAGCAGCAGCATCATCATCATCATCATCCTCATCATCCTCATCATCCTCATCATCCTCATCCTCATCCTCCTCATCCTCATCCTCCTCCTCCTCCTCCTCCCTCCTCCTCCTCCTCCTCCTCCCTACTCCTCCTCCCCCCCCCTCCTCCTTCTCCTCCTCTTCCTCCTTCTCCTCCTCCTTCTCCTCCTCCTCCTCCTCTCATCCACCTCCTCCTCCTCCTCCCCTCCTCCTCCCCTTCCCTCCTCCTCCTCCTCCTCCTCCTCCTCCTCCTCCTCTTCCCTCCTCCTCCTCCTCCTCCTCCTCCTCCTCCTCCTCCTCCTCCTCCTCCTCCTCCTACTCCTCATCCTACTCCTCATCCTACTCCTTCTCCTCTTCCTTCGCCTGCTGGGGTCCTTTGCTGGAGTGCCGGGGGAGCCGGACAGCGTGGCTGTGTTGTCATCCGCGTCTTCGGCCGACGCGGGTACAGAGCGGAGCTCCGCTGTGGTGTGCTTGTCCCGTTTTGAAGCATCTCGCGTCGCCCAGTTGCACGGTTTTAGCTCTCCTGAGGCGTTGGTGAATTGGGAGAAGACCCAACGCCGCGCGATTGAGTCGACACAGCTTGGGAGGATGGGGAGGCCAGCATAGGATGAGCCCCTAGTGGATTTTCGCTGGGCCCTCGGGTTCGGCATCCGCTGCTCGGCATTGGCGGGGCGGCTCGTTTTCTCGCTGGGCATCGGCTCAGCACGGCTTCTCGGCGAAGGCTCGGAATGCCCCGGCCAGTGTGCCAGCCTCTTTTTATACGGAGAGTATCATCAGCAGCGTCAGCAGCCTTCTCCTTCTCCTCCTCCTCCTTCTCCTCCTCTGGAGCCGCTGGAGCCTCTGACAAGTCTATCCCTCGGTGAAACATAGCCTGCGTTCAGGAAAATCAGTGCACGGGAAATGGCACTCCAACCTCCTTCTTGCTGGTTGGGTCCACTCCCTTGCGGAGCATCTTCAGTGCTCTCGCTCCTGCGTCCGTGGGTCGGGAGCAGCGCGTGGCCAAGTCCTTGACCTGTCGCCGCGCGTGTCTCCCGCACCCTGAACAAAAGAAGAGATCTGAAACCCCCAGGCGCCACATCCGATGAGACTCGAACACTTTCGCGAGGACTCGAGGGATTCCTGGCCAGACCTCCTGAACAACTATACTACGCTTCTTTGCCGTCTTGCCGCATACTCTACAACCCACACCGCTCGTGATGTGCAAGAGATGTTATTTGTCATTGGGGTCTATTCTTAATTGCAAAACGGGCTCGGTTGGACCTAGCTTGGCAGGCTTCGGCTGTTTAACTTTGGCCTTCTGAAACGGAACCACATCAGGAAAACACAATTCGCCGAGCCTCTTAAGGGTTCCCCCGAGGAGTCTAACGAATTGTCTACCTACATGTTCTGTTGCTGCTATCCGCTGCCCTACGTGGGCCACAGAAGGATGATGACCCATAGCTCCAAGCTTAGCGTATGTATCTGCTGCTCTATTTCCATACAACCAATATTCAGGGAAACCGTTGCTACGATACCATGTTTTGGAACGATGAGACGGCATCCAGAGCACGTCAATGCTCTCCCGCCCGATGTCTTCTATTTTCCAAAATATCAGCCTCCAGATTTCCTAGAACGGCTGCTTCGGATCGCACGTGACCGTTGGCCATCTCTCGAGGCCAACCAGGAGGTTCTTATGGTCAGTGACGATCGTCCCCTTGACCCCGCTCAGCAAGTGGAGGGCCTGGAGCAGGGCGTAGTGCTCTGCTAAACCTGAGGACTGAACAATTCCTGGCACGGGGCCATAAGCTGATGCCAGGATTCCTGCCGAACCTGGCCAGATGGAAACTGCTGACCTCCCCGCTCTTGTCAGCCAGTCTATGTCAGGGTTTAATCCAGAGCCGTCGATGAAAACAAGAGCGGTGAAGTTGCCCCTGGGAGGGTAACATCTCATTTTACATTCACTGGCCTGGAGCGGGAGAGGCATATCGTCACGCTGGCTGTCGGTCACGCCGAAAGTGGTGAGGACCGACTCTGGGTTCTCTCGGCCGATGCTGATCAGCTCGTTGAAACCCTGCTCGCGCCTCCAGCTGGCGAGTCCGTCGCACTCGTAAGCCCTATGAGTGATCGTTCCTGGGCCACCTCGACACCAGTAGCATTCCCGATATATCGCGAAACGTTCTTGGTAGAGTTGATCCTGAGTCCAGAGGCCCCCCGACCTATGCATGGTCACCAGGTCCGCCTGAACAAACTCCCCCCGTCCACGAAGTTGTCTAAGTTCGGCTTTTACAGGATCCAGGAAAGCGAAACCTTGCCTCCCATGATGCGATGCAGCTGCTAGCTCCTGCTGTCTCCTCACTCCACTGTGGATAACCTTCTTCAAATCTGGCACACACGTCC